ATTCCCCTACACAATAAAATATATTGGCATTTTTTCAACTGATAATGAAAGAAGAAATCAGAGTATATACCAATACCTAATATGGGTAAAAAAAAAAATAGAGATCAGAAGAAATAACTCTCGTGCCCAGAATAACAAATAAAAAAAGTTTGCAATATTAAATATCTTGTATCCATAGAACATCTGGCATAATAAATAAATAGGAGTTAATAGCATCCATAATATCAAATAAATTATTTTCAATATTTATTTTCAATATTGGTAAATTTACCAAGGATTAGAGTCACAGTGATCAATTACTTTCAATAAAAATGATAAAAAAAATAATAAAAAATAAAAAATTACTTATTAATGAATTATTATCCAAATTTTAAAATTATTTATCAATATTTTATTTATATAAATACAATTAAGATATTATATCTTTCAATTATATTTTTCTATTATAATGAACTTAGACTTTGTTGTTTATGATTTTTTTTTCAAGATTTTTATTATATATATAAATATAATCAAATAAATTTTTTTATTATATTAAAAATTTATTTTAATATTCAAAATTCAAATTTTATAAGTTAGAGGACGAATATTGTGCTCGTTAGAGAAATCAATATTATGTTGATTTTTCCAATAAGCAAATATAAAATAGTCATAAAGCACAAATAAATAGATAGACCATAGGTGCGTGCAAACACAAGTAATGGTAGAAACCCGCAACAAGTTACACGAATAGAAAATGGGCTGGATCCGTATCGTGGCGGAAAGACAGAATCTACATGTGACGGTTTTATAGAAACGTAGAATTGCCAACAAATGCTCTCGTCTCGATGAAAACGAAATAGAATATGTTACATACAATGGAGTTCTGAGAATCATGGTTCCTAAAAACAAAAATACCATAGTAAAACCAATTCGTATCGTCGATGAGGAGGAAGAGAAGAAGAAGCTGAAGGAGGCAAAGAAGAAAAATGATAAAGGACAAGCAGCAGGAAGATGAGGAGAGGAAGAAGAAAGACAAGCAGAAGGATGATGAGAATACAAGTATTTTTGTCTTCATGCTTTAGTGTGTTTGTGTGATTTATCTCTATAATTTTGTGTGCTTATCGACGACATATTCGATATTTTTACATTACGTATGTGTTCGTTAAAATGATAATACTGGATACATTATACAAGTTGTCAACTTTTGTACACATTTTCATATATTCTTGTTTAGAGACACATCCTCGCTGTCTTATGTTGCGAAATTCATGTTTGATGGTGTTAGAGCATCAATAATGCAAGTATTACTTGTCATCTTTGAAATTATATATATATATAAAGAATAGAAGATTTTGTCTTCAAGACATCTTTGTAGATATTTGTTTTATGTCATGTGTTCTATTCTGATTAGGACACATGACATGTTTTTATTTTATGTATATAATATGTATTATATATATATATATGTATATAATTTGTTATGTAAATTTTATTAAATATATTGTTGTATTTTTATAATATTTTATAATTATAAACTTTTATATTCTAAAAAATATAGCCATATTGAAATATTTTTTGCTTAAAATATTAAAAGTAATATCAATATGAAATATTTCTATTGTATTTACGTTGTATTATTGATTTTTAAAATTTTAATTATTATCTTTATATTTTATTTTATCAATTAGAAAAAAAACAGATATGATAATAGAAATATAATATTAAAATTATTTTTATAATCAAATTTTTTAAAATAGGAATAATTAATTGAAATTAAAAATAAAATATTAATTAGAATTTTAATAAATTAAAGATTAAAACATTATAATAATTTAGTATTGATTAATTATAATTTATAAAAATATATAGAAAAAGAGAGAGAGAGAGAGAGCCCGATTTTGGGGACTTTGGCAAGAAGGGTACTACTTTCTTGAATCAAGGGGGTCAAATTTTTTATTTCAATTGCTAATTTGAATTTAACTAGATATTGATTATCCATGGTTTCATCTTGCTGTGATTTAATTTGTTTTGTTTCTTTCCATTTCCTCTTTTGTACACTGATGTTATGTATCATAATATCATGGACCTCGTATTTTCATTTCATATTTTAACTACATCCAGACGTCAGCAAAAAAATTGAACCGGTTCAACTGCTAAACCGAACTGAATTAAACTGAATCTTCGGTTAACCGAGCAAATTCGGTTCGATTACAAATAATGCATTTGAGTATTTGTTCGGTTCGGTTCGATTTCGGTTTTTGATATTTTTTTCGATTCGGTTAACCGAACCGAATATATTTATATTATTGTATATTAAAATTTATATTAAGAACTATATCGGTTCGATTTTGGTTCGGATATTTGAAATATTTCTAAATATTTTTAATAATTAGAAGTTTAATTATTTTTAATGTATTTTTTTTATTAATTTCGATTCGATTCGAGTTATTTGTAAATATTTTCGGTTAACCAAAATTTTCGGTTCGGATACATGTCACGGTTTCGGATATTTGCTCACTTCGGTTCGAATATCAAATACTTGTATATTTTCAAATAACCCAACCGTGTCCACCCCTAGTTACATCATCAGCTTCATGTATAGGACAAGACGTGCATCTATATCTCGACTCTCTACCTAAATCTTTTGGAAATACTAGTTCGTTTGTACATACAATTTTTTGATAATACAAGGGTAAATAGTGTGTATGTTTTGTTGTCGAGATTGAGCACCGGCCGTAGTACAAAATCATTTTGATATATATGTATATAAAGATAGACGAAAGTACTGCATTGTTTGGTTTCTTTAATTTGAGGATGAACTGTGAGGAATGCAGTGACAAACAAGATCTTCCTAATGCAATGTATATCAATGTATATTAGAAGTCTTTACCGGAATCCAACATATATAGACGAGAAGAATAATATTTGATTAAAATAAATTTGTTGTCTTTATACGTGGAAAGTCATGATAAAAATAAATAAAATTAGTTAATATCCAATTGATAAACTAACTAATTAAGGGGATTGATTGGTTGATAATTAATTGATTCATTGTGCCTAAAACATTAAATAATTTGAAAAGTTAACACTAATAATTTTTTAAAAAATTATATTTTTAGAAGATTTCATGAAAATATTTTCGACTAACATTAATAGTTAATGGAGAACAATTGTAAATATTTTCTTTATAATTTAAGAACTTCGTAAAAGTTTTTTGCGGTGTGTTTTTAGATTTCTTACAAAAATTTTAATATTAAATATTTTTTCTTTAAAAATATTAAATCAAATAATTATTTTTTATTTTTATATTATATTTAAAAATTAATTTCATATTTAAAATATCAACATTTACTTATATCACATCCAATAATTATTCAAAAAATTTAAACCCAAAAACCAAATCCACAAACAAACTATGTTTCTTAAAAACGAGTCGTAGGGATTCTGTGAACTTTTATATTAAATTTAGTAGTTGTATACAAATTTCTTATATTCTTTAAGAACACGGCACAAAATTCCATTTTCAAGAGATTCAATGCAATCTTTTCAAGAGCTACTCAATGTTTTAGAAAAGATTTTCCAAAATTAAGTTGCAATATCACGAAATGAGACGATACATTATAGCTATCATTGTATGACTAATAAAAGAACAATCAGACTTCGAGCATGCCAATTAGCGAAAAAAATTTCCCTGTGGTGTGCTATTCTATGAAAAGACATCTTATACTGTATTACTAGTGGTGCACCCATTGCACAGTTTGTATAAATTATTAAAATAATATTATATTATATTGGTAAATATTTTAATAGAAAGATAGTCAATCAACAATTAATAAAATTTACTATGTGATAATATTTCGGTTATGCCTATGAAAGTAAAGCTGGTGCTATATATATATATACTAGAACCCGGCGCCGCGCAACGCGACGCCAATAATTTGTAATTTAAAAAAGTTTTATAACTCATTGAAATGTATAGATATTTTTATTAGACATGTTCAACATAACATTCTTTTAGTCAAATATAGTATCAATATTACTTCATCTCAAATTTGTCTCCACTCAAGACCAATGAGGAGGAAATGATTTGTTTTGTACTGTTCTATTTTACCAATTTGTATTTGTATTTAGGGTAATAACTTTTATGAGATTAAAAAATAATGAAAAAATATTTATGTAAATAAATCCAAATATAGTACTCTCTCCGTCCCACAAAAAGATTGTCATTTAGTTTTTGCGTACTTAATATTAAAAATACCTTTATATTTGAATAATTTAGTCGATAAATATCATTGTATTTGTATTATAAGAGACTAATAAACGTATTTTTGTTTTTTTCTCTTGATTTCTCTACTGTGTATTGATATAATAATTAATATTCAAATATCAATACGCAAAAAGGTCATGACAACCTTCTTGCGAGACGAGACGGAGGGAGTATATGTTTTTTTTTATAATAACAAGTGTGTTTTATGTAATTATAATATGTATTGTTAATTCATATACTATATTTGTATTATATTAACATATATATATATAGCGTGTTGTTTGTAATAATATTGTGTGCTTTCAAACAATACATACAATACACCATGTATTGTTGAGACTATAAAATGTACTCTTTAGTCCGTCCTATAACAAAGTATCTATTTTATTTTTTTTAGTAACTGTACTATCTACTTAATATTACAAATACCCTTACAGCTTACAATATATTGCACAAATGTTATTACCTTTATATAACGTATACTAATAAGTTATTTTAGTAATTTCTATTTTATTTCTACTAAATTTTAATATAATACTAATATTTTTATAAATACGTCCAAAAAATAAATGAATATTTAGTTTCGAAAAGGAGGAAGTATTATCATTACAAAGTGTGGTTGTGCATAGGTGTTTGAAATCCACATCCCGCCCCGCCCCGCCGCCCTTTTGCTTTTGGCGTTGAGATCAGTTGAGATGTTCTTATATTTCATAATAATAATAATAATAAGTTACTCCTTAACCCCCAACTGACTACCGATTCTCATCATCCCCAAACCGCTATTTCTTCTTCATTTCCCACAATTGCATCTCTAAATTGAATCAATCCTCTTGAGCTGCGTCGTCCTAACTATCATGACCTCCGCGCCCTCATCGTCGTCAGATTACCGCCGGCGGGTGCCTCACGGGGACATCGATCATGACGAGTACAATTGGAGCCTCAGGTTTAACTTTGTGGTCTCTATTTCGCTTTGCGGATCCAGATTTTTATTTTCATGGCGTCCAAGTGATTCCTGTTCTTTTTCAAATTTGAAGCTTGGAGTTCTCTCGCAGTGCTTGAATTAGGGATTAAAATGTTCATTTTATGTTTTGGTTGTACTAGTAACCTCTTTTACTATCTTGGACGTGTTAAGTTGGATTTTCTTGGAGATATATAGTAGAAATTAGATCTTTACTGATAGACGTACAAGTTTTGGGAGGTTGTGAGCAAGAACTTGTTTGCCCACGATTAATACAGCATGCTAACTTATTTTCATGGATTAGCTTTTGTATAGATGTAAATGTCATCTAGAGAGTAGTAATAAAAGGGCTTTGACATGATCTGATATGATATGTTCTGTTTGCAGTAATGTTTCAAAATTGTTATCTCTGAGAGAGATGACGCCTCAAACAACGAGAGCACCCAAAAGTCTTTGGGGAAAGGAATTCTATTTCTGTCCATATTCCTATGGACTGAAACGTGATCAGCCAAAAGATGCAAGACAAGAGATTCGCATGTGGTATATGCAACTTGAATACATTTTTAATCTTTTATTGATTGTTATAGATGTCAGCGCTGTAAAGTTTGTACTGTATATCTATATGATTCACAGGGTAGAAGCAGAGTCATTACTACATTTATCAGGCATGTATTGCCAGATCGAACCTCAACCAAGAGCAACATTGGCAATAGACTTCAGTCCTGATGGAAAGATGCTTGCTTCTACTCAGTTAGTTTATGTTCTATCTGTCTGTATAATTCAATGTATGCTTGACAAACTGTTACGTGCTTTTAAAAATCTACGATTCTATTAATGCTTACAGTTCAGACTTTAGTGTGAGGATATTTGATTGTCAAACTGGAAGATGCTTAAAGGTACTCACAGGGCATAAAAAGGTACCTTGGACGGTAAGCTCTCTGTTGATTAGGTTCATTAAACTGTTATAAGCTACGCTGTTTTAGGATTTATCTAAAATGTTAATCTAACTATTGGCACAAAGGGCAAAGATAGCTAGCTTGTTACAAGTTCTTAGAAATGTAATTGTTTTGCTAAGCAAGAGTTTATTTGTGTTGTTAGAACCTCATGCTTGCACACTGGGGCTTTTGTAGGTTAAATTCCATCCAATTGATCCTAAAGTTCTTGCAAGTGGAAGTTTAGACAGGGTAGTACACCTGTGGCATGCAAATACTACAACCCCTATCAGATCGTATAATTTTGGTAATCTCAATATTGTTCATGATACTTCCAAAAAAACAAAAGAAAACATGCTTTGTTAAAGCATTTCTCTTTATAATATTTCTTGCCACTTTGCAGATTATCATGTACGTTCAATAGCCTTCCATTCCCAAGGGGAAATATTGGCAGTAGCCTCCGGAAATATGGTTGGTATTTCGGAGAAAAACAAATATTATTACCTTTCTTTGATGTTATGATAGCGTCGATGAGTTAACCTTTGTATGCAACAGGTTTATATATGGAAATACAACGCTATAGAGCAGAATGAACCTACATCTATCCTGAGTACTTCTAATGTTTTCCGAGCAGTGCAGTTTCATCCGTGGACTGCACAGCTTCTTCTGACGGCTGAGGTTCTGTCTTTCCACTGCTATTTTTTATTTTTATTTTTTTTACATTAATCTCAAATGTATTATTTTAATAGTGATTGTCTTTCAGGATAATAGATGGAGTAATAAGGAACCTGCAACATTTCCGGGATTCACACGTCACCCCTCTCCAACTCTACATTTTTCAGATGCAAACTCTGTTTATCGGTCTAATTCACGCAATGGATCTCCAATTACGTCTTTACCATTTCTAGTGTGGCCGTCGATTACCAGAAGTGATGCCAGCTCAGTTTCCGAAAGGGCAGATCCCAGCACCAGCTCTTCTGTTTCAGCGCAGATTGGGGAGTCATCGGCATCCAGGAGACTTCTTACATATACAACACCCCCTGGTGAATTTGAACTCAGATTATCTTCGATCCAATCTCCTGGTAGAGAAGAGCCACAAATGAACACTTCCACCAGTGAGATGGGAAATGATGTTTCTGAACCAGTTGCTGAACCTACGGAGATTGAAACTGAAGGTGATAGCAGACATCAATCTCTTCCATTTGGTGACCCATCATATTGGGAACTTCCATTTTTACAAGGATGGTTGATTGGTCAAGGTCAAACAATGCCTGTCGCATCATCAGCTCCTTCACCATTTCAATATGTTGAAAGTGCAGGAGATGCTGCTAGAAGATCTCGATCACGATACCGATCTTCACACCGTTCGAGTAAAGATCCTCAATCCAATATTGGTGCTTCTCCTTCTCCATCTCCATCTCCACCTCAGCAGGGTAAATCACCACCTTTACTAAATGCACCTCGATCTGCGGCAGCTGCTGCTAGTTTGGTTCGAAGGCCAGCTTTTGCTAACACAGTGGTGCTTAAAATATGGCACCATGAAATAAAAACTCCATTCATACCTCTTGATGCAAGGAGATGCCGCTTAACAATTTCCAATGCTGTTCTTTGTAGGTATGTAAAGCTGCTTGCTATTTGGTCTTCTGGGAGTTGATTTCACTAATGGATATTAACATTTCCAATGTGAATTGGCTTATGCTTTCCAGAAAATTTTAAATAGTCTTAGATCCTAATTATTAGATTGCAAAAAATTGCATTGTACATGATTAATTCTCAATAGTCTTTTTTTTTTTTTTCTGGTGTTTTTTTATTTTTTTTTGTTTTTCCCTTGTCATAGTCCGATAGTATCAAATGCTTACATATGACATTATTTTGCTAGTGAAAGAGGTGCTCATTTTTCTCCATGCGGAAGATTTTTAGCAGTTTGTGTAGAATGTTTCGAGCCATTCATGAGTCCTCTTGATCTCCCAACTAAACATTCCAGATTCACAGTCGAGGACATTACTTATGAATTAAGGATATATTCTCTTGAGGAGGCTACGTGAGTCTTATATTTTCTTGCATGCTACAAATTTACCAATTCTAATATCTTTTTTTGAAGCTAATGCTTGTTTTCCTTTTTATAGCTTCGGTTCTGTTTTAAACACTCATCCGATCAAGGCCGCTGGATGCTTAACTTCAATACAGGTTAGTTGTGTTATTTAATTTGGTTCAGTTTTTCTATGACCACCTCCAAGGCATTTGACAGTGATAACAATTGAATGCATGACCATTACTTCTTCATCGGTTGTATTTTGGAAAAATAACTAATTTTGGGGATAAATGACATTGTTTATTGGAATATGTATTTTTCGAAAGTTCTTACTTAGCTTGGTGATAGGTTCATTGTAATAAATATGTAAGGATGTAGGAGAATGATGGTATTTTAGTGTGTCTGATACATTGATCCGAATGTTATGATGCTTATCATTTATAATTAATTTTTATTTTCATTTGGCAACACTCTAGTTCTCGCCTACCTCAGAACATTTGTTGTTAGTTTATTGTCGGCAACACAATGCACTTGTCAAAAGCTCTCTGATTGACGGAGGCAAGATAGTATTGAATCACACAATTCTAGAGGTAAGAGTTATGTGAAGAATCACACTTTTTATTGTGCATACTTTGGCGAGTTGTTGTTTTTCACTTATGATTTACTCAAACTAGTATATTTTGGCAACTCCAATTCATCATGTCATTTTGTTTGTTTTTTTTTGGTTTTTTTTTTTTTTTGTGTGTAGTGTAAGAAGCTAAAATTGTAATATTTTGTTGAATTCCGCCTTTAAGACCTATTGGAATAAAAGATTTTAGAATATACAAAGTCTTGCATGTTTGTATCTTGTGTATTCCAATAAAATTTACTAATGGATCATGAGTAAACTGTAAGTATGAATAATTACTATATATATATATATATATTTTATCATATAGTTTGTCTTGATATCAAGAATTACAAAAATATACCAAGCATTAAATGCAATTTTGTATTTGTTGATATTGCTCGATTCCAAGTACTTAAATTCATTGTATGGTCTCTCAGATGTATAGAGTTTGTGATATGGAACTTATTAAGATTCTTGCCACTGCGGAAGAAATGGTAAACTCAGCATGTTTCCATCCTTCAGTTGGTGGAGGCTTTGCTTATGGAACCAATGTAAGTAAAAAAAAAAAGTTTCATTTTTTATCTTTGTTGATGTTGTTTTCATTGTGCTTTACACTCACACATCTAATCTAAAGATTATGTTCATCTAAACAATGTTAGAATGGAAAGGTGCGGATTCTGAAATGTGACATATCGCATGGCTTTCGAAATGATGAACCAGAGGTTCCTGAAGGCATATTTGAGGTTAGTAAGAATTACTCTTGCTATTATTAATCTCCTTCTATACGCTTGTTGATGAATTGCTGACTTAATCCCAAATTAAAATATGTCAATGCATGAAATCCATTGGTAATTATTTCAAGTGTATATTGCATTCAATAGATAATTATACAACGATCACATTTTAGTATAAGCCATATGTTGAATGTGTTTGCCCTACCCTACTTGTCTTTTACTTTTGATTGCTTAACTTTAATTATTGGTTAAAGGTTTAGAGAGTGTTTGGCCTCAGAAGGGTGGTCATGTCAATAGAAATCAGCAGCAGCAGCAGCATCATTGAGGTTTGTTTTTTCAGATTTTCTTAAATTGATCTTCTGTTGTGCTGTTTGTGCATATTCAGATTTTTAATCCTTTTTATTGCCCCCCTTTGAAGCTAATCTCTTATTAGTTTACTTGAATTTTCTAGTTCCATATGCCTATCTAGCAAATCTATTTCTTGTTATAATATATACCAATTGTCTCATGTCAGCTTGACACTGTTGCTGCTCATTCATCGACAAATGCGTTGGATGGATTAAGACATACATATACATAGACATACAGTCGATGATGCTGTACAGATATTGGAACTGATGGATCTGCAATTTTCTAGTTGGTTTAGTGTGTGGATCTGAGTGAACATTACATAGGGCATAAGAATAGGTAGAGGTATCCATCATTCATTTTCTTGTTCTGTTTCATGGATAGAAGATTGATTGATTGACCTTCCTTGTACATACAACACTGCACTGCATTCAAATCATAAAAGCAAGCATTCAGTAGTTCTTCATATATAGGTGGTTGGTGTTTCCTTTCCATCCCAACACTTGGAACATTATTAGTACTACTTGTGTGTGGAGTGTTGAACTTAAAACACTAGTCAATTCTCATAAGGATAAACAATAGGAGATGTGTGATTGACTTTTAAGGATGGATCCAAAAGCCCAAAAAATTCAAAAACAATTTGAAGATCCTTAGTTCAAACTAGGACTGGACTCACTGATAAAATACTATGACATAAAACAAGTCAAAAGTGTTTGAAACATGAAACGAAATGCAAATAAAAGTAAAAATATGAACAAACAGCATAAGTTGCTTGATTCTTGTTCCCCTTCCCCCAAATCAATTCCCAATAAGGTGTCACATTTGATTTCGAGAATTCAAACCCCGGCCTACCTCAGAATGAATACAAGATTTTTGAATAATGTCGTCGAGGTTCGTCGCCCAAGGGGAATTGCCGGTGGTTCCAGCGCCGGTAAGGACTCCTGCTGCAGCTCTCCCGCCTCCATCCACTGCTTTGGTAGAATACACGCCCACGCCCTCCGGCGAGGATGAAGACCTCAAAGTCAAGCTCAGTCTGATTAATGAGTGCGTCCCTGTTCATGTCAGCAACACCTCCGGCAGCTCCCGGCGATTTCCATCAGGTATTGAGACATGCATTTCTTGTTCGCTATGAGTGATATATATTTCTTTGGGCCATGTTAGGCTATTTGTGTCGCAAAATAGGAAGCTTCAAATACATCTGAATGTTAGACGCTTAGATTTGAAAATAATAGTGCTTTGAAATGTATGATGTATGATGCTTTATCCCTTTGGTGAGTCGAAATGTGACACACAAGTGTGATCGGCAGATATCTAATTGTCAAAAGATCCGCAATACTATTTAGTTTACATTCCTTAAAACATTCTAGCAGGTTAAATGAAATCGTGTTCGATCACTACACTATTGATTGGGCTTTCAAATTCGTTACTAGTTTAGTACCATCTAACTTACATTCTTCGATTTACCTGGAACACCCGGTCGTCTACACTTGATGGTTATTGTCTTTTATTCGGAGATCAAATCTTCATGCTCGGTTCTTTAAAGTTTTGCTCTGTGCCATTTTGTCTTTATTCTATATGATTGTGCATCTTATCTTGACCCTTTCTTTCTCAAGTTAAGAGTGGTCGGGAGTGAAAACTAAATGATCTGAGCTCGAGTTTGATGAGCTTTCAATATACAAGCTCAATCTTCAATTCCGTAGTAGTCGAGTTTGCACCAGAGGCTTTTGCAAATTCAGATGGATACTTTTATTCTTATATAAAGAGAAAATTGTCTATGTATATTTTTAAAATACTCAGTCCAAAATTTTCATATTGTTGAGAAGTCAAATAGAATGGCTGCCTCCATCTCACATTTCAAATTGGAATAGGGGGTGAAATTTTTCTATAAATTCACTCCCTCCCTTTCGATTTCAATTCATCCCACGACACAATCCTCTTCTTCTAATTGTGTTGTATTTCTTATCTCCTCTTTTAATATAATTTTGATTGCGGTCCGAGGACGTAGGCATAATATTGCCGAACCTTGTTAAATTTGATGTCCTTTATTTTGCTTTGGTGTTTTGGTTATTTATTGTACTTTAATTTTTCCGTTGAAATTCTGTCAAAAAGACTATAAAAAATCTAAGGAAATTGGGTTTTAAGTGAGCCTCGTATCTCCTTCAATTACTTAGGAATTTTCTTCGGTATTAATTGCGTATAGATATTTTGCCCGATTGTGTGGAGCTAACCCGTTTTTCGCAATACATATATTATAAATCATTGTGTTTGCCAAAAGGATGCTAGAGTCCCTATATTTGTGCACAAAATGGGGTTTTTGTGTATATTCTAAACTAGCCTAAAGGTGAATTATATAGTAAAATTTACAAATAGTATTTTTTGCAGTATGCTTAAACAATGTACTACATGTGATATATAGTGTGCCCCTAAGTAAATAAATTAGTTTCCCTAACATATAATCGAAATATTAAGATTGTATTTTATAACCTCTTTTTTTCTCTCTCTCTCTCTATATATATATGTGTAATTATATATAGATCACGTATGAGTCAACAAGCTTAGTATCTCTTGACTCAAGTGGCTCACGGCTTGCTTGTATCATTTGGTAGTAACCCTACCTGAACTCTGTGAATGTATTAAGGAAAACGTGTGCCTAACTTTTTCTAATATTATTCAGTTTTTGTGAAGATGCCTTTTCTTTTCTGTTTAAAATGTGAGATGTTTGGCTTTGTTTTCTTTGTTTGAGAATATATGTGTGCGTATATATATGTATATGACATATTCTGGTTTTTAATATGATGTTGATGGTGACAGTATCGGCAAATGAGGCGGAAAGAACAAGATCGACTTGCAAGGATGGATGCTGACTTCCAGAAAAGAAAGGAGCTGGGTGAGTTTGCTAAGCGAAGGGAAGAAAGATTGAAAGCTTCCGAGGAGCGTACAGCCAAGAAGCATCTGAAACGAGAAAAAGAAGAAACAGAGGAAAAAGGAGTAAACCCGAAAATGGCGGACATGAGCATAACAAAGAACAACAACAATTTTCAGACGACGATGGTAATGGTGATGGTGATGGTGATGGCGAATCAGACAAGCAGAAATGTGTTGAGACAACGCTTGTTCGCAAATCTCTTTCTTGCATAACAGATTGTAAGGAAGCAAGCCATACCGTTTGGAAGTTGCTGGATTGTGTAGTAACCTTGGAATGTTGCACATAGTTTGATGCTATTTCTTGAACAGTGGTTCTAAGATTCTTTTGTTTTATACGACAAGGCTTGTTCAAAGTTGTTAGCTGGGACTGATTATAGGACTATGCTTGGTCAATGTGTTAATGATGGGACAGAAGTATGTAATGTAATGGGAGTGGAGTAAGTTGAAGTTGGTTTTTGTAAGATTATTTATTTAGAATACTGTACAATAGCAGCAGCAGCAGCAGCAATGTTGTGGAGTGGGCATTATTATTATTGTATTTCAATACATTAATTAGAATGAAAATTTTTGTCTTATTTATTAAGTTTACATGTGTTAGCTGATCTACTTATTAGGTTTGGTTTCCCCTAAACTAAATTAAACTAGAAAGATGTTTAAGTGTATTGTGCTGCTGAAGAACTGCGAGTGTGTGCATTCGGTCCCGAATTTTCAATTTTAATCGAATTTTTGTTTATAAAAATTGAAACCGAAATCGAATCAAATTTTTCATAATCAAACAAACCGGTTCGGTTTAAAACCGAAGAAAACAAACTTTTATTTATTAATATATATTTTACATATACAATCAAATACAAATACTCAAAATATAATATATAATATTTATTACTATATAAATTTTTGTCATAAAAGTTCGATTCTTTCAGTTAACCAAAATTTAAAAAATGAAAACCATAACCGAAGCGAAATTGAAATTTATAAATTTTTTTGGATCGAATCGAACCAATTAACCAAACAATCCAAATCAAACAATCTAAAAAAAAACAATTTTGACTTTTTTGGTATGAACCGACCAATACTCACCCCTAGCGAGTACCTTGTAATGAAGTACCGGAGGGAGAGCAAGATAGCTCCCAAAAATCCTACTAATCTTGGAACTAGTGATATATATATATATATATATACTAGAATTTATTTGATTTCTATTTGAAGTTTTTTATTTTTTTATTTTAATTTAAATAATATTTTAATATGATTATTTGGTACACATATTATATTAAAATACTTTATAAATCAAAAATCAAATTTAATTTTACTTTCAAATCAATTTCAAATAATAATCAAAACAAAAAATATATATATATAAAGAATTAATGGGCAGCTACATAAAAGTTTCATGTACCATTTCATTTTTAAAAGAAAAAAAAAATTAATATATTTTTTGTGTTTATAAAAAACTTATTACCTAAAAAAAAAATGCACTATTAGTATGCACATTAGGATTTGTTTGTTTGTATATATTAGGATTTGAACCCATGGTCACAAGTTCACTCCTCACACCACTAAGTCATTCTTACGGTTCAAATTTATTTCATAATTTTTAACTCCACCAGTGAGATATACACTAAAAACATGTAGAATTATCATTAGGACCATCATACTTGCCGACCATCGATGAACTGATCGGATTAACAAACCAAAGTTAACTTCCGTCTTTATGTATTGAACAAAGGCAAAAGATTCAGTAACAGTCGGACGATAGGAAAAAGTCATAGCAAACCCCGTAGCTACTTGTACTAAAAAACAAGTAAACGTAATTCCCCCTAAACAATAAAATATATTGACATTTTTTCAACTGATAATAAAAGAACGAAATCAGGTACATACTAATACCTAATATGAGTAAAAAAAATAGAAATCGAAAGAAATAACTCTCGTGGCCCAAAACCAAAAAAATAAGAGTTTACAATATTAAATATCTTGTATCCATAGAACATCGGGCGTAGCATAGATAATAAATAAATAGAAGTTAATAGCATCCATAATATCAAATAAATCATTTTCGTCTTTCGTAAATTTACCAAGTCTAGAGTCATAGTGATCAATTACTTTCAATAAAAATAATAAAGAAAAAAAATTACTTAATAATTAATTATTATTCAAATTTTAAAATTTATTAATATTTTATTTATATAAATACAGTTCAAATTTATTTCAAGACATCGTATCTTTCAATACATTTTTCTATTATAATAAAATCAAACTTTGTTTTTTATGATTTTTTCTTTTCAAGATTTTTATTATATATATAAATATAATCAAATAAAATATATTTTTTCTATTATATTCAAAATTCAAATTTTATAAATTAGAGGACGATTATTGTGCTCGTTAGATAAATCAACACTACGTTGGTTTTTACAATGAGCAATTATAAAATAGTCATAAAGCACAAATAAAACAGATAGAGCACAGATGCATGCAAATAAAATAATGTAATTTTTGTTTATATTTTTATGTGAGGTACATTTCAATATTAATTATTGGTTCAAATATTTAATTTTGTCGATTTTTCATAAAACGATTTCAGTCTATTATTATTATTATTATTATTATTATTATTATTATTAAAATAAAAACGAAAACAAACACACACCCTAGGACGCACAGCCAGACGGAGGACCAACAATTCAGAGAGATAGAGTGAGGAGTAAAGAGGACGCACAGCCCGGTGATGAACAGTGCAGAGTGAGGAGTAAAAAATAACGAGCAGTGAAAAGAGAGAGAGAAGAGTACCCTTCTCCTTTCGGAGCATTTATAAATAGACATGATTTTGCAATATTCAATTGTGAATATCATCATGCAACATATACATTTTAAAATTAAAGATAAACTATTTTTTTAGTCCGGACCCCTTTATCATTTTAGTCTGGTAAGTGGAGTCTGTCACAAACTAGTCCCATAAGTGAAAAATTTTCGCTGTTTTAGTCCTCCGGCGCCGGAGATGGCCACGTGGCTCGCCGGAGGTGACGTGTCCGCCGACCTGGCGGACACGTGGATTTTTTTTTCATTTTTTAAAATTTTTTTTAAAACTTATTTTTAATTTATTTTAAATTTTATTTGTATTTTCTTTATTTTTTTATTTGGTCAAATTAAAAAAAATTAAAAAAAATTAAAAAAATGAAAAAATAAATAAATAAATCTACGTGTCCGCCAGGTGTCGCTGACCTGGCGGGACACCTGGCGGACACGTCACCTCCGGAGAGCCACATAGGCGTCTCCGGCGGACTAAAACAGCGAAAAATTTTCACTTATGGAACTAGTTTGTGACAAACTCCTCCAGTTCCACGACTAAAAAAACAGTTTACCCTAAAATTAATTACTAACATGTCGCCGCTTTGTAATTTTTTTTTCAGGTTTTGAGGACATATGTCATGAATTACTTCTGTAGGGCTTTTAGTATAGGCGTCCGGTGCCCTGTTGAAACAAGTTTCGGAAGAGACTGAGCTAGAATTTGCGTTATTGTGTGATTTCTTGAACCTCATCCAACTTCAGATACAAGTAAGGGTAGAAACCCGCAATAAGTTACACAAAGGGAAAGTGGGCTGAATTTGTATCGTCGCGGAAAGACGGAATCTACTTGTGAAGGTTACAATGAGGTTATATAGAAAAATAGAATTGCCAACAAATGCTTTCGTCGACAAAAACAAAATACAATATTATATAGACAATGGAATTATGAGAATTATAGTTCCCAAAAACAAAAATACCGTGGTAAAATTATGTTCATTTAAATATTATTTTGATTTAAAATATATTCTTAATTGAAACTTCTGAAAGGGATTGAGCAGATATAGAGAGGTAGCGTGCCTGTGGTCATTTGAGGTTTTTTGTTGCTCAGTTGAGTTGCTTGTTGAATTTCGACATTTTGCTCGACTGTAGCAAATTGTATTGTATGATGTTGACTTGTGTGAGTCATTAGAAGAACCCCTATTTTCTGTATTAGTACAATCTTCATTGTTGTTATATTTAAATGCAACTTGTTCTTCTTACCAATGTTGTCTTCTGCAGGGTCGATATTAATGTTCGATGTATTGTTTTGGCTTTGAGTTGTATGTATCAAATTAATTTTTATGGTTGTGGTGGTGGTGTTTGTGAGCAACAGTTTTTCCCTGACAAATAAATAATCTGGATGGACTATGATCATCAATCAACTATTACGTTTTAATGAGCTAGTATTATTCTCAGACTTATTATATATTGTCATTCTGTTTTTGGCTGCTTGGCTTCTCTTCCCCATTGTCATTATTAACTTTCTCTCTGTTTTCACCAAATTATGTGTTGAATAAACTTAAATGTAATTTTAATTGGGTGTTAAGTTGGGTGATTAATGGATCTATCATGCATTGGAGTGTGGTTAGTTGATATTAAAAATATATAATGGGTGTGGTAGAGGTTACACTAGCCATTTATGTTATGATTAATTGTGGTTTTAATTTGTGAAATATCCTTGTGTGCTTTAAAATGTAGTCCATTGGTGTATTTTTTAGTGTGTCGTGTAAGGATTAACTTGAGAGAAAAATACAAGTGTTTTTGTCTTTCATGCTTCAGTATGTTTGTGTGTTTTGTCTCCATAATTTTGTGTTTGAATTGGTGTGTGTGCTTGTCGACATATTCGATATTTTTACAAATTGGTATAAGAGTCGATGGCAAATGTGATGAGTCAAATGTTGTTACCAAGTTTTCCGAAGGTAAAATACGAGAATTAAAGTATTCAAATGAAAGCGCTTCTTGGATCTCATGATGCATGGGAGATAATTCATGAAGATTTCGAAGAAGCGGCGAGTATGGCGGGATATACGGCGGCTCAACAGAAGGTATTGAAAGAGAAATGATCAAAGGATAAGGCTGCATTGTACTTGTTGTTCCAAGCTGTTGATGAGTCGGACTTTGAGAAGATTTCCGGTGCAACGACTTCAAAAGAAATGTGGAACATGTTAGAAAGAACACTCAAATGAGCCAACCGTGTCAAGCAAGTGCGCCTCCAAACTCTTCGTGGCGATTTGGAAAGCATGAAGATAAAGGAGTCTGAAAGTGTGTCTGACTATATTACTCGTGTGCAATCCGTGGTCAATCAGCTTGTTCGTAACGGAGAAAATTTAACCGATGCGCAAGTTGTTGAAAATATTTTAAGATCATTAACCGATAATTTTGAGAATATTGTGTGTGCGATAGAAGAGTCAAAAGACCTTGCGACACTCACGGTTCTGGTTCTTTCAAGGCACACGAACAATGCAAGAAGAAAAGAAGGATGAGACACTTGAGCTAGCGCTTCAAACCAAGACGTCACTTAAAGAAGATAAGGTACTCTTCTCAAAATTTTCGAGGAAGAGGGCGTGGACGTGGAGTTCGTGAAAGTGGTCATGGTGGTCAAGGCAACAAATATGAAGAGGGAGAATCAAGCTAACCGAATTGGCGGGGTATAGGACGTGGTTAAGGAAGAGGCGACCAATCGAACAATTATAACATTGAGTGCTACAAGTGTTATAGGTACGGTCACTATGTAAAATATTGCAATTTTGATAAATGTTGTAACTGTGGTAAAGTGAGGCATTTCGCAAAAGATTGTTGAATCGGAAAAAAGATAGAAGAAACAACCAACCTAGCCATGAAAGATTAAGGAAAAAAAAAAGTCTCTTGATAACTCAAAATGAAGACAACGTCAACAATGATACTTTGTAGTACCTCTACTCGAGGGTGCGCAACCACATGTGCGGACACAAGCACCTATTCAAGGAGATGCAAAAAATTGAAGATGGTTATGTAATGTTTGGAGATGCATCTAAGGTGGAGGTTAAAAGACGAGGTACGGTTCGTTACATACAAAATGATGGCTTAATTGGGTCAATATAAGATGTTTCTTATGTACCAGATCTTAAGACCAACATTTTAAGTATGGAGCAACTCATGGAAAAATACTACATGATACTTTTAAAAGATAGGGTGTATACTTAAAGGACAAGAAAAGGCGTTTAATTGCTCAAGTTGAGATGAGAAGAAATTGGATGTACAAATTATATTTGAAAAGCATGCAAAAACAGAGTTTGCAAGTCAACATAGAAGACAAAGCGTCATTGTGGCATCTTCGTTGTAGTCACCTACACCATGGTGGTCTAGATGGAGAATTTTGTAAAGATTGTGTGTTTGAAAAGCAAGTAAAAAAAACTATGTTATTTCTTTTATTGATAATTTCTCACAAAAAACTTGGGTTTATTTTTTGAAAGAAAAATCCGAGGAATTCGAAGTGTTCAAAAAATTCAAATTGATAATGGAGAAGATAATTGATAGACATATCAAAGCCATGCGATCTGATCGAGGTGACGAGTATACTTCGAGGACTTTCTTGGAGTATTTTAAAGAGCAAGGCATAAAGAGATTTCTTACTGCACCATATTCCTTAACAAAATAGAGTGGCCAAAAGAAAAAATCAAACTATTCTTGATATAGTTCGAACAATGCTCAAGAGCAAAAGGATGTTAAAAGAGTTTTGGGCAGAGCTGTACAATGTTCCATCTATATACAAAATAGATGTCCACATGCAAAGCTACATGATCAAACACCTCAACAGATGCTAAGCCGAAAAAAGTTGACGGTATCTTATCTCAAAGTGTTCAGTAGTGTGGCTTATGCACATGTATTGGATTAATAAAGAATGAAGCTCGAAGACAAAAGCAAAAAGTATATTTTTATTAGATATGATGAGAAGACAAAAGGATACAAGCTGCTTGACCCAATAAGCAAGAAGGTGATGGTGAGCTGTGATGTGTGAGTAGATGAAGCAAGCGAGTGGAATTGGAAAGATTCGGTAGAGGCTATTCATGGAGTTGGAGAATCATCAATTTCTACACCAACAAGCATGCCAATACATGCTGAAATTGTCAATGATGAAGATGAACCACAACATCCCCGAATGCGAAACGTGCAAGAGTTGTATGATTCAACTAATGAAGTGTACTTTATATGTTTTTTGGCGGATTTTGAAAATATCAGCTTTGAAGAGGCCGTGCGTGACAAACAATGACAACTTGCCATGGACAAGGAGATTGAGGCGATTAACCACAACAACACGTGAGTGCTAACGAAATTTCTATTAGTCTTTTGAATTTTTATAATAAATTAAAATAATATATTTTTATTTTAGTTTATTCCATAATAAAAAATATCTACTTTTTTTTATTATTGTATTATTTAAGTAACATTACAATCATCACCTTTATTTTATACAATGTCAATGAAATTATTTTTGTTATTTTCTCTTATTTGTACTTACGTATTAATATTATACTAATATTAAAAAAACAACATAATACTTGAGAGACGAAGAGAGTAATATTTTATCGAGAAGTGAGTAATATTTTATGTGTAATAAATTTTTTGTAATTTATGCAAAAATTAAAAAAGTATTTTGGTATTAGTATATAATTATTTTTACCAAAGAAATAAATATTTTTTAATAGCCCCGACAAAAATGATGAATGTGATATTTAAGACAAGAAGAATATTTGAAGAAAATACATAAACTTCAATATATTAGATCCGAGTCTAATTTTCAGTTAAATTTATAAAAAATTGTAAAGATATTTCGAATTTGTTGGATCCATCGAGTCTTGTAGGGTATAGCCGAATCCGATTTGAGACTCGAATCCGATCTCAGGTCTGACTAGACCCAATTCATACCCGACCTAGTGCCATCATACTGCATTGGATTCACAAAATGACAGTTCTACTACTTGTGCCCCTGAGACATTTTCATGGATGGATCTGTTTTAAAAGCCTTGAAAAGAGACATTTTCCTCAACCCAGCCAGTATCAACACTGTCCAAAATCCATTCTATAGACATTGGATGTGATCAATCATCTATATGATATGCAAAAACAAATGAAATAAAATTTCATTGGGATCCATCATCATCATCCTTGAAACATAATGAATGCAATCTAAAGAATAAAGAATCCACAGGTGAATGCCGTCACCTGGAGAATAGCTCGGATCTGTTGAGATAGCAACTGGCAGCTGGATCCTGGAAGCAGCCGCAGAAACTTTCGTCGTCTTTGGGGAATGCAATCGGCAGGGGACGATCTGGAATTATACCAACCTTGAATACAAAACATCGGGTGTCAAGTTACACAAGGAAGGAATACACAAGCAAGCATGCATGTAGATCCAGTGAGAGACAATGAAACCTTGTCGATATCTATGTGGGCAGGTGTTTCATAGCGAGCAACAGTTACGACCAAGCCAGATCCATCCGACAGCTCAAAAACTGACTGAATTTTACTGCATATATATATATATATATATATAGTTTGGGAGTTGGTCACTACTTGGGCATCTTGTTTTTTGCAAAGTGGAAAAGCTAAGGATAAGATAGGTCACCCTTTCCCATATGTAGGTTCCCCAAATAGTGTGGCGCGTTTGTTGTCCTTTAGCGCGCCTGCTAAAATCTCGCTTGCGCTTGCAGTTCCTTTATTGACCTACATCATAAGCAGCACGGCGCCAGCGCAATCGATTAAATATTAAAAACATAACTGGAGCTCGCATAATTGAAATCGAGAGTGCGAGCAAAGTGTTCTGATCCGAACATTTTTAGGATGAACACTCAATACATACGATTGATAGTATAATTTAATAATGGCTAAGAAATGAAGAGCATACCAACACCACTAGAGGTTCCATGGCGGCTGATGCATTGCTTCCATCAGTGTCATAAATATCTCTAACGCCTTTGCTGTCGCAGATATATACGATTATGCCCTTGTTCAGCCTGAGAAGGAATCAGACTATCAATAATTTTCGTGTATGATGAGTGATGATTAAATAAAACATCCTTGATCCTGGTTTGATACCCATCCAGGATAGGGTATCTCAAGCAACTCACCAAATCTTAGCGATTTCAACTCCTTCGGGGAAGAGCCCGCCGCTGGAATGAACACAGCAATGCATAGCTTCTTAGCTAGAGAAGAACTATGGCTCCCAAGAATGAAAAGTTCAAATCATGTTACCTATTGTCGCGAAGGTCTAATATGAAGGCTTTTACATTGTTCTGTCTCAAGGTTTCAACAGCTTCCCTCACAGCACCTGAAAAGGAATTCATGGTAACTCCAGAAAACGAAACTAGTAACAATGAACTACAGCACACAAGCAGGTTCATGAAAAGCTGTGCCAGGAAATATATAAGATATGCCATGTACTTTATTATCAATGTCAGCAGCCAAGGGTGCAACACAGTTAATAGACTTGATGCAAGACATTATACTCGGAAAATAAATAACTAAAGAAATAAAATAAATAAAAGAAAAAGAAAGTTTACCGGAAGCATTTTGGTTGAATGATGTTAATTTGATATATCCAATAAGAGGACCATCCTCCCCGAGAAGTGGCGTTCTGCAGATTCGTGACTTCACTGGATTGAGTGAAACTTTTTCCCGTCTGAAAAGTAGCACCTAGCCGATGATTATTGTTTGAAAATTTAAAAGGTAGCTATATGCTTGCACAAGTTTTCACCCACTGTATTAGAGGTAGCGTGTGAAGAATGGAAATTTAAGTCATCTACTCTAAAATTCCTAGTTCAAGCTGAGTATCAATATTACAAAGAATTGCTAGTAATTACATTTTGGAATGAATACCAATAACTTGTATGGACAGTGGGATTTGAGATAATAGTGAAAGCACGTACACTAAGGATAGGTGTCTTGTCTCAGAACCGTGTCGCACAACTAAATCCACACCACTTCCTTCTGGTCCCCTGCAAGGTCACTCGTAGTAGACAGTCAAGCACAATTCTCTGTTTTTCAAATCCACATACTAAGACATGCAATCATCACAGAGCATTGAAAGCATGCACGAACTATAGTCAATGATGTTGCTATGTAAAGTAGTGAAACTTTCTTCAATTTAAAGATAATCCTTCCACCATCCACAAAAAAACATGCTCAAAACTTTTGGACACAGAGATGAAAGGAAATAGTATTTTAATGTTGTTATATACTTTTGTAGGGTAAAATTAGAATTTTTATAAGGTTATTAAATATGGAATGTGTACACTTTTGGTGGACAAACTAAATTGGTAAAACGAGCACACTTTTTGTAGACAGAAGGGGTAATGTTGAGGCAGTCGACAGGTCTATGAGAGACATGAAGACCATCAGAAATAATTCACTATGTGCAATTTATGTTTAGTTGCAATCAGCATATATATCGAAAGGGAGATTAAGAAGAAACTCACTGTAAGCGATCAGCAGCATCATATATTCCCATATTTTCTGTACTTGTATCATCAATAGCAAGAATCAAGTCCCCTGAAAGAACTCCAGCCTTACTTGCTGGACCTCCAGGTGTAGCTGAAACAACAACCAGTCCAGGGACAGGCTTATCTTTTCCAGCAGGGTACCCAATGGACACGCCGACTCCAGTTAGAGTATTCCGTGTTCCCGACTGCCCTTAAAGGTCATAACAAAAAAGTTTTACATGCAGAAAAATCAACTAAACTATTCAGTTCTAATTAAATATAACAAACTATAATCAAGATTTCCAGAGAGCAGGAGTGTTATACCCGCAAACTTTTAAATTTTTGAGGCTCCAGGAAACGAGTGAAAGGGTCATCCAGAGTAGCAACCATCTTTTTTATAGCAGCATCTACAGGCAATGTAAACAATGAGGTAAACAGTAGAGCAGATTACCTTCTGAAATTAGAACCAGAGGCAGACATATATATATATTATATATATATATATTGAATGTCTACTATAACACCATTAGATAAAATAAACATTTTTTGCCTCAGTTTTATTTGATTCCTCTATTGATTTTGTGTATATTGCAAAACACTGATTGAACCCTGATTAATTACCTTTTAACATAAAACAATCAAAAATTAATTGGGCAATTTTTTATCCAGACATCCAATTTTATTGCAATATCTACTAATATGCATCTCTGAATTATAGATCTCCAATGGCACTGCAAGTACATTGTTATGAATTCTGTTCATTTGGTTAAGCTTCTTATATACTCAATGATTTGGCTAACGTCCAAGTGACACAAATGGCTATCAGATTATTGAATCATTCTCCTTATTAATATCAGATAGAATCATTTAAACTCACCGAAGGTGCACTTGAGTTGTTGTATGTAAAATATACTGATTTTTAGAGAATTACATTATAGTCTCATCGTCACCACTTAGATTATAATAGTAAATAATCATATATACATTAAAGAAAAAAAAAGGCAAAAATCGAAATGAGGAGAATAAAATTAAAAAAGTCGGTGGTCATGCATGCAATTTAGAGTATCAAAATATGGAAATACGTATCATGCTGCAAAATGTGTTTTGAGTGTGACAAGAATCACTTTCAGTATGCTAGATTAAATATTTCTATTACTGTAACTGATAGGTGTGTGTGTGGATGTGGTTTGATCTCAACACATTGTTAGTGACTTTTTTACTCCTAAAAAATATCAAATCAAATATCTAGTTTTATTTAAAATACAATATCAAAGATATAGTTTTTCATTTAAAACAACACATCAAACACCTATTTATATTACATAAAAATCCTATTTCAATACAAAAATCTGTTGTTTGATGTTGGGGATTTGATTCGAAGTTTGGGAATAGTAAAAATTTGAATTGTCAGGTTTCATGTGCGCCTATTAATTATGATGTTTTGAATGGAATATTCATTTTGTATGATTTATTGATATTGAGAAGGAAAAAAGTGAAGAATAGTGCGCCTATTAATTATGATGTTTTGAATGGAATATTCATTTTGTATGATTTATTGATATTGAGAAGGAAAAAAGTGAAGAATAGTGCGAAATTTGGTTGAAATATCAAATGTTGATTTTCACATGGAATCTTGTGTACATAAATTTCTACTTATACTTTCTCTATTCTGCAACTAACAAGAAGGTGATATGGAGAGTAAAGAAGAAGATTACCATCTATTATGGAAAAATATGAACTCAGATAACAAAGATTGCACACCGTAGTTAAACATATATATATGAAATATTATGCAAGTAACAAGACAAGATAAGGAACTTACAGGTCTCCTCTCTCGAGTTCATAGGTTCATTGCGTAATGCATTTTCTCGGTACTTAAACCAACTCTGCCCATTGAAACTTTTATCAATATAAGCACGATCGATCGTTCTCCACGCTTCCAAGAAAAGAAGATTTTCTTCACTAAGGGCCCCTAATAAAATCAGAAACAAAGCATAGGAATAGCAAACACAAAGCTTAATGCATGATAAATATCCAACGTAGAATGTATATCAATTTCCACAACCACAAAACTTACAGGAAGGGGATTTCACAATAGTGGCACCCAATGTCATGGCAATCATTGCTCCAGCAATAATTCGGATCGAAAAGGCATGAAAAAGAATGTTAAACCTCTCAGGACTTTGCAGCACTTTCTGAAGGCTTGGGGTAAATTTTCCAATCCCGGTAATGCAGGCAGTCTTCAGCTTAGAACAGCAACCAACAAATCTGTTCTCTAGCAACGAAAGTGACAGTGGTAACCTTTTATATTTGCATTTGCCGCTACAGTAACAATATTTGGTATTCTGTTTGTCACTAGACAAGGAACAGCACTTCAAGTCTCTACTTTTCCCCAAAGGAAGACGATCCCAAAGTAGTACCTGAAATATTCCACTCCAAAATAAGGTTCTACAAATCTCAGTATTGCACACATAGTTCTAGATTGACGATCAACTAATTTATCAGAAATCAACAATATACATCTCAAAATCCTCGTAACGGAGCCAATTCCAGCACATGCCAACAATACACTACTACAACGGGATGAATCTCGGCCATTCAATTCCGATGGAAAGACCCTCTGCACATAGACGTTACAATTTATACCCCTCATTTCTCACATCACGGAATTAATATTATACTCCACACACACCAAAAACAAAAACTCAGAAAATCAGCTGCCGCAAAAACGCACTCATCCTCATACTACAGCAGACATTTAAAAAGGCAGCAACAAATAAATCACGCAACAAAGCAACAACTAGGTTACCGGAAAAGTAGAACAGCGGCGACGAATCCCGAGGGCGAAGGCGGTGGAGGAAGGAGAAGCAAACGCAGTGGAGCTTCCCAGGCACACTTCCATTTGATGACCACTTATTATTTTCCACTCTCCTTGTATAAAAATAAATTAATTAATTAATTAATAATTCTCGTGGCCTTCATTTGTTTGTCGTCACGACACTTTTCCAGATTGGAAGAAAGTGCAGTGCTTTGGGCCCGGGCCCACACTAAATTAATTAATAAGGGTCACCAACTGCTATTGGATTATATATTACTCTCTCCATACATTTTAAAAATATATATTATTTATTTTTATAGTATTTTAATTAAATTAGATAGTTAAAATATTATAAAGATAATTTATTTTTGTTTGGTGTAAAGATAATAATATGATGGTAAAATAGAGATATTTCTGAAAAAATATATATATATATATATGAGATCTATAAACTATAGTTACTAAAAAATCATTACTTTATAATTAAATAATTCAAAATAAAAATTTATATCATTGACAACGCAAGTCACACTAAGCAAACCATTTATGGCAGTTGAACTGAACTTCACGATCACAAGTTCACTCCACATCACCAAGTCATCTCTTACCGGATAGAATTATAGTATTATTTTTTTAGTGGATGGAGGGAGTATTATTTATAGCAAAAATTATTTTTAGTCTTATTTTATATTATAATTATCAATTTTGATTCCATTTAAATATTCTTTTATCAATTTTGATATCAGTTATAGCAAAAATTATTTTTGGTCTCATTTTATATTACAACTATCAATTTTGATTCCATTTAAGTATTCTTTTATTAATTTTGGTTTGAAATTTATCAATTTTAGTCTTATTATAGCCAACAAGAACTAAACACTGCCGCGTTGGCTTGAACACGGTCATGTTAAATGACTAAAAAAAATTACTAAACTCCACACATAACCAACACAGCCATGTTGCAGTGTTTATTAAACCGCTTTGAACATGACAATGTTCATATCCCTATTCACAACTATATTATGAATACGGTTGTGTTCATGCTAATGTCATGATTCTGTTCTTAATATGGTCATGTTCTAAGTCATATTCATAGTCTTATTTTGAATATAATCATATTTTACATATATTTATTATCATATTTATCACTATGTTCTAAGTCGTGTTCACAAATTTTTCAGAAAGAGCACAAAGAAAGCATTCAGTCTAGTTGAAAGAAACCTCACCCAAGTTATCTATTTATTATTATTGGCGTTCAAGCTAAATATATGGAGGGTTTCATCTCGTTTGATTTTTCATCGTGGAATACAAATCCCTTTCATTTTTCTTTTCTTTTCCAACAAGTTGAAGTTTCTTGTTTGTTTCGTCGTTTGTTTTGTTTCCTTGACTTCATTTTAAAATTTTAGAGTATGTGTAGTAGAATTGTCATGATTTATGATTGGTTTGGATTTGGTAAAGTTGACTTGGTGAATATGGGTGTGTTTCTTTAGGAGGTTTTCGAGAAATTTGGGTTTGGGTTTGGTTTTTATTTGAATTTTGAGATAAGTTTGAGTTTTGATGTTTTTTTTTGTTTGGATTTGGTTGGAGTTTGAGGAGTTTTGATGTGTATGAATATAATAATATAAATGTATAGTAATTTGTATAATTTAATTATAAATTTATATTATATTTATTTATATATTTTTAAATTTTTATTTATTTGTATTATAAAAAAAATTATTCTCTACAAAATGACATATATTGTATATATTTTATTAAATTATAGTTATTAAGTAAATTTGCTTATAACTCCCCTGTAGTTTCGAAATTCAGCGAAAATCTCCATATACTTTAAAAATTGCATAATACCCTTTATATTTTAAAAAACGTTGCATGAAACTTCACCACCATGAAACTTTCCTCGTGTGATTGAAAGATGATTTCATATCTATATGTTTTGCATGGCAGGGGGTTTCATGCAATATTTTTGAAAATATAAAGGAGCGTCATGCAATTTTTTAAAGTAAAGTGGGAATTTATACTAAGTTTCGAAACCTCATTGTAGTTTCATGCAATATTTTTTAAAGTATAAGGCGCGTCATGCAATTTTTAAAGTAGATGAGAGATTTACGCTGAATTTAGAAACTACAAAGGAGTTATAGACAATTTTGCCTAATTATTATAATTTTTTTATATTTATAATTTTTTAAAAAAATAAAAAAAAAGACAGACTCTGCCCCGAAACCCCTTCCAGCCCAGTGTGATTGCACAGTGATTCAACCCAAAACTGGACCAGAGAAACAGACCATATGTTAACACAATTGTGATTTTGTTCTATTCTTGATACAAGTCGCGGTAAATCCGAGTGATACATTGCTAGTTGTATATAGGTTTGCTTAATGAATCATAGATTCTTTTAGATTAATTGCAATTATAATTCATGTTTTTTTTATATAAAAATCTAATTATTTATATCTTGATCTTGATTGGTGCTAGGCATGAAGTGATTTCAAGAACAATGCATGCCCATGTCAATTCTCCGGATCAAAACTTATGAAAAAGCTGATGAGACATTTTAGCTTCATTTTGTGTGTCCAGAAAAGCCATTAAAAATGGGGATTTGTGAAGTTTGAGGTTTAATCAAAGACATAAATTGAGAATGAGTAAGTAAGACATTGATTGAGGATTTAATAATCTAAAAAAAAGGGAATCAAGCTATTGAAGGGATTATCACAATTCATACATTGAGTTGGAAGATTGAGAGAGATGATGGGAGAGAGAGAGCCACCCGAAAATTACCCATGGTCATAAATTTATCGCTTTTGTTTATTTTAATTATAAGTAGCAATTTTTTTGTTCTAGTACAAGGTTAAAATTTGAACCGAATTTAGATTTATGAGATGTACTTTTGATTTGAATTAAATCTTGCTAGTAATTAATATTTGTGCAATCTAATTATTCATGCCTATGATTGTTTTCTTTAATCTTTTATTATGGTCGGATTTTAGATTGATTTATAATTTATTTGCCAATCAAATATTTACATCTGTAAATGTATATTTGTTTGATAAAGTGGTAAATAAGTTGACTAGTTTGACTTAGAAATTGTGTAATCGAATATTTTAATCTTTTTGTGGCACTAATATGTCAGCCACGTCAGCTCCAAATCAGCACCGGTGAGCCTACTCAGCAACAGCGTGACAATTTCAATGACGGAGGATAATTTCTGTCAAATTTTGCAACTGGAGGACCAAACGTATACAGACCCAGTTACTGCACTAAAATAAAAGGCGGGTTCAAGTACAAAACTAAAAAAACAATTTACCCTAATTATTTTGAAGATAATTGATAGGGATGAAAAATCAACGATTTGAAGCTTATTGTAGCAAATAAATATAAAAAAAATAATACTAATAAAGGTTGCAAATAATTCAATTTATTGAGAAAAGTTATATATATTATCAACATAGATGATCCAATAGAATAGTGTTGTATGTGGTTGTATTATTTCTCAATTCTTTCGAAAAAAAATTGATCTTAAAATGAGTGATAATACATGTTGTAACCGATGTGTATATTATAAATAAATTTAAAATAATGATTGAAGGAAAAAAAACAAAAAAACAAAAACAACACCACCAACTTTATAGTCTGTAATATTATGAAATTATTATAAAGTATAATATGAAAACTAGGGTTACGATCATATTGTTGAACAAAATTAGGGATAAGAACCAATCATTGCCCAACAAAGAACAGTGGTGGAACATTGGTTCAAATTCCCCGACGCCTTAGGTCACCTGTCACATATGGTTCGCCTAGTGTGACTTTCCCGTCGAGCCTAGTTTGCAGAGTATTAGGTTCGGCCGGAGGTTTATCCAGAGCGCACATGGGTAGCGGCTGCGGATTCTTACGTCATCCAAAAAAAAAAAGAACAAGTGGTGGCAGAAGTAAATAGACTACATATCACTTCCAGAATTTTATTTTCATTCAATCCAATTTCGATTTATATCCAAATATTTCAACGTGGTTCTAAATCTTTTCTTGAGAAATCCAAAGAACCTACTAATTTTCGACCAATTCGATTCGCCAAACCGTCGAAAAATATTTCAAACGAAAACAATATCAATAACAAAACAACATTTATACACATTGTTTTGTAAAACTGTATATCAACAATAACCACACAACATTTGTGCATAATTTTAATAATTAGCAATGAAACACATTTAACTGTTTTATCATATGTCATAATAGTAAAATTCATAGATATATGTTTATGCAATTTCGTTTTATACAAAAATTATTAGAATTAAAATAGTAAATGCCAAAAAAATTAAAACATCTAGCTTACCACTATTAGATCAAGATAAATTAAGAGGAAATGGCCCAAAACGATTAAGGCCCAATGTAGGTAGATATGCTGATTGAAGAAATTAGGAGTGAAGGAAGGCCTAGCCTGGCAAACGGATCAGGTCGGGTCGAGTTTAGGTTTGGGTCAGCTTAAACGGGTTACAAAACTCTTGATCTGAACCTGACCCATTTAATTAAATGGGTTGATATTTGCAACTTTAACCTGATCTTTTATTAATCGGGTCAACCTGAATCTGACTCATATAACCCGTTTAAATCTAAAATATTTAAATTTTAATTTAAAATTACAATTTATACTAACAAAATTTTTAAATGCATAGTATATATACATATTAAAGTAAAAAATTATTTATTCATATCATGAAACTGATATTCAAGAATTGAATTAACAAACACTACATAATAATACACAATATAATCCTTTATTTTTTATTGTTTATTTTTATAAAATTGGCTATAAATATTGATTGTATTGATAAATTTTAAAAAATATATTTAAATTTAAAATAATATTAATTAAACAGGTTAGACGGGTTATTTTCATGTCGAAAATGTAGACCTTAACCTGACCATTTAATTAAATGGGTTAAACAAGTTTGACTCAATTATTAATTTGGTCAAAAATCTCAACCCAAATCCAATTATTTCAAGTCAGATTCGGATCGAATTAATTTTTGTCAGGCCTAGGAAGGCCAGCAGATTGGCCGATCGTTGAAAAATAAGGAGGTTATGAAAGGTTTTAAAAAAA